AAAGATATATTGGTTTCGTAGAAACATTTATTTCATGCAAACAATCTAAGAATTGATTATATTATATTCCGTCAGTGGCGCAACCAAAGGGGGGGTCCCCGGGTCCAGACCCCCCCCCCCCTTGAGTATTTATAAAATGGAACATTTTTTAATTAATTTGGGAATATAATAATATATTGTAAGTATAATAAATTTTGTTTGGCGTTATTGAGATTTTTCCTTAAGGCAACTGCTACATCCGGCGATGAAAGTTTTATATTAGCAAGAGAAAATTGTGGTAGAAATGCACAATACATAAGTTGGAAAATACAAAATGAAATTGTTAGCATTTGTTATGAAATTATTTCATCAAAAATTGTAAATAGAATTAATGAAAGTAATTTTTTTTCAATAATAGCGGACGAAACCGCTGATATATCGGGTACTGAACAGTTTGCTCTATGTGCCCGTTATTATGATAAGAAAAACAAAAATATTCGTGAAGATTTTTTAAAATTTATTCCAGTACATGATGTGAGTGGTAAAAGTTTAGCGAATCATATAATTACTGAATTAAAAAAATTGAATGTCGATGTAAACAATCTACGAGATCTTGTGAAATCAGAAATTTTACTATGGAATCGTTATCTAGATGATAGTAACATTAAAACAAAAAATGCCATCAACATATTGAATAATTGCAATTCAGATTTATTTCCAAATGTTTTTAAGCTTTTGCAAATACTGGTCACACTTCCTGTCACATCTTGCGAAGCTGAAAGATCATTTTCTACACTCAAACGCATTAAAACTTACTTAAGAAACTCAACGTCCGAATCGAGATTGAATGGACTAGCTGCTCTCAATATTCACTATGATATTGATGTCAAGTCCGAAGAAGTAATACAGCGTTTATCGAATTTAAAGCGTCGTTTAGACTTTATTTTATAATTTTATTTGATATATTTTCATTATATTTTTTTTTATATATACATTTTATTATTAATATGGTAACACAAATAAAAAATACATTTATTATTAACACAATTATTTATGTTTATATCTGTTGTAATATAATTTTGGACCCCCCCCCCCCCCCCCCCCCCAAAGGATATTTCTGGTTGCGCTACTGTATTCCGTATCCGGGCCATTACCTACTGGCTACTCGCATTAGTTATTATTTTTTAAATTTAATAGGTATTAACACAATAACACTGTTTTAAATAACGATGAACGCTAAATTTGGATAACGTTTTAATTCTGAATAACATAAAACCGAATTTTTTTTTCAAATGCAAGCCCTGGACTTAAAAATATAAACTATTATTTAGCTATAAACTATTATAATACATCCAATTCCCTAATACACCATCTACAATATCTTCAGGATTTACTTTTATATCTCAGTTTACATCCTGCATGGTTAATCCATTTTACCGACTTTTTTTAGAATATTTAAAGTTTAAATTGTAATTGTAAATTGATAATAATTGTCGACTCTAAAAATAGGTTTTGGCCTTCGGGGGAATCAACTTCATTCCCCCTTAATATTACGGTCCTACTTGTTACAAAGTATAGACGTATATTTGTAATTGAATAATAAAAGGGTAATCGTTGGTATACAGTCGTAGTATATCTACGTATGCTAATTAAACACCTTTTTTTTATTAACTATTTAATTATTTTATGAATTTTTTTTTTAAATATTTTTGTTAATTTATTTGTACCTATGTACCTCTTAATAAATAATAATTAATACTATTTACATATTCTATCATAACCGTACGATTTAGTTAAAACATAAAAATTGGATACACATCTTCTGTTTTACCTATTTTGAGCTTCGAACATGGACTGAAAATCTAACTACTCAGTTTTTATACTGTTTCGGTGTAGAATGTAGATACGATATACTTGTAGTCCATTTTAAACCCCACACGGCACACACTATCAGTGTACATTGTTCCAACTACGTCGAACACTATTCAAGGATAAATAAAACCGTAATGTGTGGCTATAAGACTGAGACAACATATGCGGGCATCACGTCCACTTAAAAAAAACACGAATATACAAAATACCGATGACATAAAAAAAACACGTAGAATGCAATCGCTGATTATGGGGTGCCATGGGGCCACGTGAACAAATATCAATGATGCGTTCATACTTTATTTTAGTTCATAATTTTTTTATAATATTATTTTAAAAATTATTTTTAATACCTACGTATAAACTGAAACTGAAATATTACTCTGAATAGGTACTTTTTATTGATTAGCTGTGTTATTATTGGAAATTGAAATCTAATATTTATTTCATATGTGGAGCGTCTATATATTGCTAAATAGTTTTAAATAATATATTTTATTATTGTACACTATAATAGCTCTTCCTATCCTTTCACTATTCCACTGTGTACGACAAATTATTCCCGTAACAAACCACTAAATAGGATGATGCGTATTGCTAATGAGGATCCGTCTTATAGTTTTTACTTTTTAAGTTATAATTTGTAATTCTTTTCTTTTGTCTTATTTCCTTTTCTATTTTAATTGTTATATCTACTACACATTTTTGTATTGTACTTTTATTATGTTAAATTTATATTCTGTACTTTCGGCTACGGCCCGTATTAAAATATAATAAAATAAAATAAAAATGTGTATTTTTTTTTGGTCTTTGATACTTACATTTTAGTATTTTAATTTAATTCCTCAATTAATTGTTCATAAACCGGCAAATAGCAGTTGAGCAGTAGCCAATAGCCAATAGGTAATTACTAATTATAAAGTTGTGTACGTCGTACTAATTTCACAATTAAGGCTGTGAAATGTGAATTTCTATAAAATGTAATGTTTTGTTGTACCTACAAAGTTTTTATCTGATTATCCGTGTATTATAATATAGACATATAGCCATATAGGTACTATCATATTAAAGTATATCATTTTGAAACTTTTATTTCTTTTTATTAGATTTTTAAATTAGCCTAAGTTAGATTTTCGATAATGTAAAAACTAAATATGTAATTGCCATCAAATTGTATGGCAATTTCATTAATTTCAGTGTTTTAAAATACAGTCTAGCAGTGTTTTCAAAAGTATAGGAGAGTAATAAATTGTAATTTTTTCGTATTTAACATACCTATACTTGGCTACTTACTGTCTACTTTAGTACTTTACGCAAAACTATGAAACATTAATTTTTTTAAATTTTTAATGCATTCTATAATATAGACATACGGTTTTATATTGAATAGGTATTTTGATATTTTATTATGAACAAGAGTACCTACAGGAAAAGGACTATAATTTTTTAAGTGACGGGGCCACATAAAGTATCCGTCTCAGAAGTCAGAACCACTAGCAGAGGAGAGCTTTATCGCTTTATCCAAAGTCAGCCGAATTACTATGACATTTTCTACCCGGGTAAATTATGTTTATGTGTAGGTATGTCATGGGCACTCCGCCCTCGTGAGTCATGGTGTCGTCTGCTGTAGTCGCTAGCGCTAGTCCAGCGACAAAATATTTGGGTAATCGCTGACCAGTGTCCAGTGAACACGACTAATGACTGGGTACAATTGTAAGCATTCCTGTATACAGCAGGCGTACAGTTCGTGATTGTATTTAATTATTGTACCTATCGCACAAACAACACAATAAAAATCAATAATAATAATATAATAGTAATAATAATAATAAAAACAGTAATAATAATAATAATATCAATAATATTATAATTACGAGCAACGAGCGGATACGATAACGAACGACCGACGCCGCGGCTGCGATCACGTCGTACGAGTACAGTTACGGGCGGGGTCATGATGATGGAGGGGTAGCGGGGTGCCGCCGTCGCGTCATCAGTCGATCATTCGCTGTGCTCCGCCATACAGATCGTACGACGTACTTACGCCGCCGTCCTTATCAAGTATTCCCGTTTCCGATATTCGCAACTGCTGCAGTGCTGCTGCGTCGTTTCAGCCGTACGTATTGTTTTCATACATCACAAGATATAAACATCAAATTATTAAATATCAGCTAACCGAGGCGTCTGATAGGATAGGTAAAATAGCAGTGCGTGACCGAGAATTCGACGACAACTACGACAGCAATCGATATAATATTATAAAAGTACGGATACCGTAGGTACTATCTACGATTTTAGCTGCCTACTTACAACTATTATAGACTAATAATTTATTTACGATCTCTTTCGGGCCATACGATAACAACAATCATAGTCATTAACGTCTTAACAATAATATTAATTATTATTTTCCAACGCTGGCCGCTGCCGACACAGAAATAATCCACTTACATAGATCAATTGCCGCCGTCGCCGACTTAATAATTGTTCGTTTTTTATCTTTGTTTATCGTGTTTGTGTGTGTGTGTGTGTGTGTGTGTACTGTGTGTGTGTTTGTGTTCTCGTTTGCGCGCCCGCGCGCACCGTATGAAACCAAATCTATAGTATTTGATGAAACATAATAATATTTTTCAATTTAAATGACAGTGAGATACATTGTTTCACCCTAACGGCCGCGTACTGCGTATTTCTTCTGATATCTACGTCCAAGAACAAACGGTGGGTAGCATATTTTATCCGCCTTCGCCGCACAATCGACTTGTTACACATTATTTAACCAAATATCACGGTGTTTGTCTACTCCCTACCAATTCGATAACTCGTTCCCTACTTAGCTCGATAACTCGTTCCCTATCTAGCTCGATAACTCGCTCACCTGCCCGCCTCTAGGTGATTATCCCGTCGTGGTGTCGTATCCATCTGGACGCACAGAAAACTCATCGACATTGCTGTTTGCTTACCGTCAGACTGTAAGTGTCTATCTGATCTTAGCTACCATTCACCCCCCTCCCACCTCTTACTCAACCATCAACGTGATGCCCAAAGGCCCCTCGTTTTTCGCGTACACTTTGTCGCCACTCCCCTCCATCATTTGTATGTTTGATTGGTTTGTTGATCTGTTGCAGAGTTCCAAAACGTCTGAGTCCAAGATGTCTTCTTCACAGTATTCGTATATATTCAAGTACATCATAGTCGGAGACATGGGTGTCGGTAAATCATGTTTACTGCACCAATTCACCGAGCAAAAGTGTAAGTGTCAATTTCACAGCAAAAGTGAAATACCCACTTCTAAGCATTTGTTGAGTACACTCATCTTTTTTTCTTTTTTTACATCTTTATGTCCAGTCACTGCTGATTGTCCGCACACCATTGGTGTAGAATTTGGAACAAGAATCATTGAAGTGTCTGGGAAGAAGATTAAACTTCAAATCTGGGACACGGCAGGACAAGAACGTTTCAGAGCTGTAACAAGGTTCAGACTTTTATACAAAATATATACACCTCTGTACTGTGATAACAATGTCATTGTTGTTTAGATCGTACTATCGTGGAGCAGCTGGAGCATTGATGGTATATGACATAACCAGACGTTCTTCTTATAATCATTTGAGTAGTTGGTTATCTGATACTCGCAATCTTACAAATCCAGGAACTGTAAGTTTTAACAATTAAATATGGTTTTTTAACTACCAAGATATTTGTACCAAATAATTATTAATAGAACTTTATTATCAAAGCACAACAGTACCTACCTACTGTATTTTTTATATTTATGCATACTCAGTAATATATAATATTGCTGTTTTTTTCTTTTATCATAATTATTTAAGTATAAAATAACTCGTTGACGCTATTTCAGGAAATTTTGAAGGTAGGAATTTAAAAACCACTGCCGTTAATACGGGTATTAAATTTAATACTACCTATCAGGTAAAATTGAAAATAGTTTTCATTAAATGGCTTTTAACACGTTCACGGCCACAGTATAATTAAGAAAGTTGTTTAAAAATACCAGGACATAAAAAAAGATTTTTTAGTTACCTACAATGAATATTACTTATATTGCTATCTAGTGGTCAGATTTAAAAACCAAATACACCAATCGATACGTAAAGAAGTGTTTAAAAAAACCATATTATCATAATATTTATTAGAATAAACCAGAGTCGAATAATTTGTATACAAATCAATGGACCTGATGTCAACTATACTTGACATGGGTTTATATAAAGGAAACCCCATGTCAACTATAGTTGACACTTGGCCGTGAACGTGTTAAAATTAACACTTTTATTCGGAGATAATAGATTTATGTTAAAAGCAATAAATCATTAACAAGTTTGAACATTTTTGTAGATTTTTCTGTGCTTATACCTCAGCTTATAATGATTATAACAGAAATGTTCATTTTATATACAACAAATCATAAATATCGAGACTGATCTATTTGAATTTATTGCCTCAGACATTCAATAGTTATTTGAGATTATTGGTTATGTTTAAACTCAAAATACCTTAGACATCTTAACATACCACAATTTAAGATAGTATGGTTGCCCAACGAGGTATGATAAGACGGCATTGGATTTAAATCGGACCCCCGGTGCTAGCGCTTCTAGTGGACTATTTTATAATTGATAATATAATATGATCATTATATATATTTTTATTGTATATAGGTATAACATAACAATTTTTATTAGTTTTAATTTGAACCGATATGAGCGCTGCATGCAGGGGACCCCGTAATTCACGTGACTTTTCGATTCAAATCGTATGCCGTCTGATATTTTTCTAATGGGCAACCATACTATCTTAAATCGTGTAACATACTAAGCTTAGTTGTGTTCATATTATATAAAACTTTTTTTTTTCTCAATTTGTTAAACATTAGGGCGATAATATTTGTCAGGAAGTATCTAGGACATAATTAGGTTAAGAACTAGGTACCTAATATTATCTCAAACAGTATTGTGACTTAATGATAGAAATTTCATGAGAATTAATTAATTGATCAGTTTAATATAAACTAATTGCAGGGGACTTATGAACTGAGAACAATGATAAGAATTTGTTTAATATAATATTATGTTTACATTTTCTTAGATCATACTAGCTCGTCTCCACATAAACAATATTCCTCCATTTCTCCCTGTCCATTGCCAATTTCTTCTGCATTCTCTATCCCCATATTCTGAGATCCTTCTTTATTCTATCCGACCAATGTTCTCAGGGTCATTTTGAGTCAGTCTCCACCTTGTTATTTCCCCCAGTATTCCCTCAGATTTCCCATCTTATTATGCTTTTCATGAATTCTATTATACTAGCTTATCCATACAAACTTCTCAATTCTTCATTTGCCCTAATTTAAAATTTTCTTCTTCGTCCTTTTTCGGTCCATTAATTTACCAAAGTTTCCTTTTAAAGACACCCAATTTGTTTTTATCCGTTTTAGTGGTTGCCCACGTCTCGTATGCATACAATGCATACAGTGCATACTATTTAAATAATAGTAATGCCATTTAATAATTTATAAATATTTAATATGTATAGATATAGTATATTATTATCTATATTATAATAAAAATGAAAAGATGTTCATTGGTAACTGCATGAATTGAAAACGGTTGGACCGATTTGACTCATTTTGTAAAAAAAAAATGTTTGTCATATTCCAAATGAGGCTTTTACGGAAAGAAAAATTAAAAAAGTTTCTTGAAAAGTTGGAAAATTTGAAAAAAAAAAAAACTGAAAGACCTTTTTAAATTTAGAATTTTGTATAATATGTATGGTTGACATTGGTTACATAACGTATCATCATAATATAGTAATAGAAGCAAAAAAGTAGAAATTAGTATTTTTTTTCTATATTAATGTTACTATAAAGGTACCTAATTAATCGGGTATAATAATATTAACTTATTATAAATATTATGATATTTGGTCACTATATTTTTAACCCTTGTTGGCTTATCAGAAGTTAGTAGACTCAAAAACTACTGGACGTTTTCAATTAAAGTTATATCAATAGATTTCTTGAAACTTAGATGGTGTTTATAGTTTATCTTGGTAGGTTAAAGGTAGCTCACACATCAATTTTATTTCAGCTCATGAAAATAGAATATTTTTTTTCTGCTTATACATAGGGATACCATTGATTACATATTAGTAAATTACATTACTATTACAATTAGTGGAAATATGATATGTACAGTTATTTCCAAATATATTTATAAAAAAAAAAAACAAATCTTTAGCATGGACTATGCCAGATCGGACAGCTAGTATAAAAATAAAATTGGATCTAAGTAAACTTGGATGTATTTCAATTTTATCAGGAAACAATTAGTATAAGGAATAAATTATTAACTTATTGAAAGGTAGAGTTTTTTATTAAGAAATGAGGTAATTGAGATTTTTTTTTTAACAAATTACACTTACATACATTTCAAATGATTAACACCAATTTGCATTTTAATTGTAATAAATAAATAACATAAAATAATACTATCTGATATTATGACAAAATATAAATAGGTTAAAATTGTAGGTTAATTGTCCACCTTAATTGTTAATTTAATTTATAACTTAATTGGTCTGATGAGGAGATATAAATAAGAAAACTGTAGAAATCGCTATGTTGTATAGTAAATTTGGAGTGCACCTCATCGGTAATTAGGTCATTGTAGTGAATGTGTCAAATTTGAATACAATTATAAATAATTAAATACATAAAACAAAGCAAAAATGTATGTATGTCAGTCTCTATTCTTGGGATAATTTATAGCTTATTGATATAACAATATGTTATTTATTTTACATTTAAACAAGTAGTGAATTACATAAAATAAAAAATTGCACATATTAATTTTTGATATTTTTTAATGTTGATTAGAACAATTATGAGGAATCTTGTATTATACTTTCAGATTTCTGACTTAAAAAAAAAAAAAACATTTTTACCAAACAGTTTGAAATGCAATTATCAGCTTAAACTAAGTTAATTTGAAAATGTCATTGTGTATAGTAAATAATTTCTAATATAAATAATACTTCAATGTTTTAAATTATTACAATTAACATTTTTTAAATTATAACAAAATAACAAAACTTCTTTAATGTTAAATTGTTATTATACGTTTGACTATACTCAATTTCTAATAATTTTGGAAAAACTGTACAGTCTACGGCAGTCAACAAGACTGTACATGACGCGACCCACAATGCGTTCCAGTAGAGATTTTTTATTCTAAACTTATTTGGAATAGAGTATATCCAATTTCATAAATGCAGTACTTTATACTTAATTGTATATTATATAATTAATTAAATTTAGCATGTTATACCTCCTTACAAAATATTATTTAACTATATTTTCTCTATCTTAATTCTATCAATTATATTATAAAGTTGGCATTATAAAAATAAAAATAAATCTTTGTTACTTTATTATAAATTCCTAAATAGTCTGAAATAGTTAAATTTTTTGTATGTTTATAAATACATTGTTTATATAATATTTTCATGATTAAATATTAATAATACTAACACATTTATTGTTATAAACTATTTATTCTTTCATTTAATTTTACTAATAAAATATGTTACATAGAGTAATATTGTATTTTATTGTAAAGGTGATTTATTTGATTGGGAACAAATTGGATATGGAAAGTAATCGAGATGTGTCCTATGAAGAAGCCAAGCAATTTGCTGATGAAAATGGATTAATGTTTTTGGAAGCAAGTGCCAAAACGTAAGGATATTTTTTAAATTATAAAAATATTTTGTATTATTTTATGTTTAATGATTAATATATTTTTAATTAATGTTTAGTGGAGAGTATGTAGAAGATGCTTTCCTTAAAACTGCTCAGATAATTTATGAATGCATTCAAGATGGAAGGTATGTTATACTAGACAATTTAAATATAATACAATACTTACTAGTGAATGATAAATAATTTGAATGCTTCATAATTAATTTTATTATGAAATCAATGTATTAAATAATAATGTAGGAGATTTAGGAGATTTTAATATTATTCTGAAAATATGTTGTCTCTTCCTCTCTCTCTCTCTCTCTCTCTTTATTTAATATAAAATAAATAGAGAACATTTAAAAAAAAAGAATAAAGTTGATTCATAAAAGCTGGTGTAAACTTATCATGTTTTGTACTTTAATACTTAATAATTGCGAATAGTCATTATAACAATTTAAATATTATGAAATAATTATAATGTATACTTGTTAACTTAAAAAGATAAATTATTGGTATTCTAGGGTATGTATTATCATTGATTATGAATACTATAGATTGCTCACTGCGGTACAAAATATAGTATTCATAATCAATGAAAGATTTAGTACATGTTAAAAACATTTGAAAATTGACTATGAAAAAAAATATTAGGGAAAAACTGGGAAACTCGCTGTGGTCCATAGTGGGTATCAAGTGCACCTTTTCAATGAGTAGGTGACTGTAGTAATATTTAACAATTAAATTTAAAATTAAATCGCTAATATGAATACTTGGTGAACGTTTTTAAATTACAATAAAAAAAAAAAAACAAAATTAATTTTGTTGATAATTGATTGTGGGTAAATATCGACTTAGAATAACTGAGGTCCCGTTTGGCCCATCTAAATTACAAATTATACTTTATTCCACAAAAAATGGGATCACAATCGCGCATCTCCCCGTCAATACATACTCAATTTGAGTGGTATTGATAGTATTTGATACTCAGCTTTGGTTCAATGTCCTTTAAAGTGGAAATTTAATAAATTTTCTTAACTACAAAATGTGTACTCAGACAAGAAATGAAAAAAAATATATTTATTCTTATTTTATAAATTTTTTATAGACTTGACTTGAATGCTGCTGATTCTGGAGTACAGCAGAAAATCCTTCAATGTGAAACCAATCCAAATGTTGAAAAAGATAAATCTTGTATGCAATGTTAAGGTAAATAGTTATTTATTAATTATAATCGTTTATTTTTATTTTTTATTTTTTATTCTTTATTTTCAGCCAAATATTGTTGGATGGAATCTTTTAATTCTATATTATTTTATTATATGTGCTATTTTTTCTGTCTTAAATTATTATAATAAGTTTCGTAACATTCTTTATTAGTAGGTATTATTTGTTATCAGTTTAATTTATATCTAATGGATCATACACAAATTCACATTTGCCCACTTATATATATAAATATAATATATACTTATATTATATATTATAAACTTATATTATATATTATATACTTATATTATATATTATAAACTTATATTATATATTATATACTTATATTATATATTATATACTTATATTATATATTATATACTTATATTATATATATATATGTGTGTGTTTATATATACCTTAAATGTTTTAAAACTTATATTTAATTTGTATAATTATTATTAACTTTCTCAACTAAAGATAAATATATTTTAAGAAATTGTTAATCGAATTGTATTAAGTACATTTATATTGATGTCACATATTATAAATGTATGCATATCTAACGTATAAAATGAATGTGTAAAATATATTATATAAGTTTTTTTTGGTAAATGCTTCAATAGTCTTTAAGTATTGTATTTACTATTTTCACAAATGTTATTTACCAAAATCAAATTAAAAACTAAATCCTTTTATTGTCCTATAATATTGATTATTGTTATTTTAGACAATCTTTTATTTAACTTTTGTAAATTGTATTTTATATACCAACATCAGCCATAATTATCAGTATTGCAAATTTTAAAGTTAGAATGTCTAACGCATTATAACTTAATTTTTAAATCAAAATTGATTTAATAAATTAATGCCTGTTTGTCATCAACAATGCTGGTTATCAACAAGGGATTAATCATTTATTTTTATTTTTAATATTTGTTTACCATTAGAGAGAAGCATTTATAGATTCCTAATAAATTATTAAGTTAGAATATATTTCTGACCAAATATTGTAGTGACTTTAGATTGTAACTTTAAGTCATTATAAACCTATGGATCAGCAGATCTAAAAACTACAAAATTATATTATTTTAATAATTATTGTTTTGATAAAAAAAATTTAAATACACATTTAGTGAAATTCAAAGTTAAAATTTTATATAACAAAATATGTTACATAATTTCATTATTTAAGAAATGTCTACAGTAATTTATAGTATGTATATTAAACATAAATAAAAACACGATGTATTTTATGGTACAAAACATATATTTATATTGCTTGTAATTCACAGTCAACAGCTATCAATGTCAAGTGAATTAGTTATATCTTAATCATCTAATTCATTGCATATGTTCTATGTATAACACAAAATTATTAATCCATATTTTTAAAATTATATTTAATAATTTTTATGCGTACTAATTATATTACCTTAAAGGTTTTTATAAAAAATATATTGGTTTTTATTTTTATTATTTTTATTTTATTTATAAACAAAAAAATTAATTATTTACATTTTATCCTGTATTATAAAATATAAAGAATACAATTTCTGATCAGTAGTTCTTGATTTTTAACACCACTAAACCAAATACCAATTTAATTTAATTAATTATGTTTTATATCATTGTGATTAGGATAAGAACATTTATAAAGGAAGATCATTAAAAGGTTTTTGTATATTCGTAGTTTTTACAGACAAATGATATTCTATGATGACAGTAAATGCTATGCTTTCAGTTATAAACTTGGTGACTATTTTGCTTATGCATCAAATATATTATTATATCTTTCAAATTAATTGATAGGTACGCTAAGCAATAAAAAAAAATATAAATTTAATAAAGTATGGATATTATGATTTCTTTCAGACTACCATCTATTTTACTCAATAGCAAGTAAACCTTAAATTAATGGGAATAAGAACTGAAAGATACCTTACCAGAATTAAGAAACCAAATTTGTTGGTTGCATAATATTATATTAATTGTATATTGCCTCTTATAAAGATATGCACACTGCACAGTCTCATCATTCAGCATACTTCTTATTCCTTATACTATGGACTATGGTCATAATAGTTAAATCTTAAATCAATTTTTATAACTTCATGATAGTTCCTACTTGTTATAGTAGTTGTATAATAACATATAATTAAAAATAATATTATATTTAAATAAGTATGTACAAATGCATACTATTCATTAATTTTAAATATACAAATTTTTGATTTGATGAGTGTATGTATACATTTTAACGATGGAAATATAAAAATATATCAATAGTAACTATATAAGTGTTATTTTGAATATTGGTGCAAATAATACAGTGATAAATTTATGTAGCAATAACTATAATACAATATTATAATACTATTCTCAGTATCTCAAGGTGTTAATTATACATTGGCCCCAAACCAATTTAGGCCAATATTGGTATGTTAAAATTAATTTTATAAACGTGGGCTGTAAAAATTTTACTTTAAGTAATATACAGAATAGAAAAATTATTGATCACATTATTAAAATGATTGTAGTCACATAACATGCCTTCCTGTTTATTTGATGGCAACGGTTTATTTAGACAATTTAACAACTATATTTTTGTTTTTAATTAATACTAATGTATACAATATTAAATTTTAATTTTTAATAAAAATGTAATGTATATTATTATGTTACTTAATAATCAAACCAGTATAATATAAGCTTTTAAGTATAATGATAAAAGAATAGAATCTACATACTGTACTTTTCAGTGGTATTTTTGGATTTTTATTTTGACAATTTTTCCAGGTTATAAAATATAAAATTAATATTATAACTGTAATAACTAAATATTCATTTTGATGTCAGTAGCTATGTATAGCATCTGAATAAATTTTAAATACGTTATCTAGCCAATTCGAAAGGATGTTAAGATTTTGTATTATGAATTATTTTACTTTTTTTGTAATTACAAAAATCTAATATATAAAATCTCGTGTCACGGTGTTAGAGTTCGAACCTCTCCTAAACGGCTCTTCTGATTTTAATGAAATTTTTTTTTGTCTATTTGGGTGGTAGAGAATAGGTCATAAAGTATTTTTCACCCAACTATGGCCAACCCAGAGAGGTGCTCAGACGGGGATTTTGAGATTTACGCTGGAAATTTTATCAACAAATGGTTGCTAATAATTGCTATTGGTTATAGGTAAAATAATTAGTAGAAATTAGTATTTATTATTCGGTTGTCATTGGTTAATCAGGTAGATAAAGGGCAAGCATGCATCAAATCAAATATTTGCACATTGCTTACTTGATATACTTTTGCACATTGTCTGCTATCCGATGTAGTCTTATTGCCTACCAGGGAGATTGAGTTGCACCTTGTACCCAAATTCCAAAAGGAGTTTAACAATCACAATATTTTTAAAAGTTGTAATGTTTTACAGTCAAAGAAGTGCACAGGATCAGTTACTATTAAAATTAATAAATTAATATATTATGAATAATTAAATTTTAATAAATATATTATGTATTTTCTCAAATTCTAAAGTATTATTAAACCTTCATTTATATTTTCATGAAAAATGTAATGTATTTATTTGGATCTATATAGATTATAGTGACCAGATTTTTTTCTTAGTCCATGGATAATTGTCTATATGTTCTAACAAGTATAGACCTCCCCCACCTTGAACAAATTCTATATCATTTACAAACTATTATAATTCATACGATTATGAATCGGCCCAATAGGTCGATAAACGAATGCCAATATTATAATTTATAATTTATGATTTATATTATAATACAGTGTAGTGCAATAATTCTCGTATTGCACACTGGCTCAACCATATGTATTTCGCCTTGTTTGAGATATTATATGGATATTGGATATGATGTACTAATATATTACAATTCAGTGGCTGAGTGGCATATTACGAGCTGTATTGTATGAGTATAAATTATATATTAATAAAGCAATTTATTTTGTATTCCAGGCGTATACCTAATTTGTATAAATAATAAACATAACTGTCAGTTGTCACAGTTAGTAGGTAGGTATACCTACCTAATCAATATTTGTGTGCATTTTACACATTTCAAACTAGGTATACCCAACTATATGTAGGGTTGGGCATCTAGACGCAAATATACAATAGTGTTTGAGATTGGGGGACTATACAATAGTTAGGGAGCTTATCCCCCCCCCAGCTCATATTATTAACGCCTATATGGCTGGACAGTACCTAATCAGTTACATGCATCAATGTTACGAAATTTTCAATTAAAATTTACTTACCTAATTAGTACCTTTCATTGTAGTAATCATTTGTGTGTAGCTTTAAATAAAAGATAAATAAAGAACTAGATTAAATATAAGAGTGTGAAAATGTACTACGTAGGTATCTAAATAATTATAAAGTTACATTTAAATACGACGATATATTAATATCACTATTTCGTTGTAGGTAACTTTTAATGAGGTCATGTTAGGTATATTAGTGGTACCTATATTAATGTGGCATATTAGATATGTACCATTGCAATATTTTGAGACCTATTTATTAGTAAATTTAAAAATTAATATTTTTAAATGTTAAATTATAACGTATATAAATACATGAAACATCTTATTAAAATGTTTTTTTTTTATTTAAATTGATACAAGTATTTAGAAGTGCCACATACTGTCATTATTTTCTCAAATAAAAAAACATATAATTAAGTGACTTGTAACTTTAAATGTAACTAAGTTACTGTAACTTTAACTTGTAATCATTTACAAATTTTAAAAGTATCTATACCAATTTTGTACAATAATATTTTAGTATAACATGTAACTTGTAAGTACCTACGTAGGTAACCTGCAGTTTGGTACTTATAGGTACAACTAGTCAAAGTGTACAATAAGTTATACGTACTAATAGCCAATACCTAGGTAACTATTTTAAGGTGATTTGATACCGTGATTTTCTGTTTTTGTCTACCACACGGGAGACATAGTATT